GGCAGAAATGGAATAAATTATAGCATGTGTGTGGCAGAATAGAATCTTTTAAATAGAATAAATTAATAGGTGACAATTTTCAAATTAAAATTATAAATGGTAATAATTATATTCAGCTTTTTTTAATGTCGCATTTAATCTAACTACATACATACGTAGTCAGATTATTTCAAAACGAAATTTCGGTCTAATTATAAAAATTTAATATCAAATGCAAATAATTGTATCAAAATAGCAATTTGAAATTGAGATTAAATTTTTGAACTAATTAGAATATAAGTAATTTAGAATTTTGTCTTAACTGGAATCCAATATTCTAATTTAGAATCGAATGAACAAAAAGGTGTTGGGCGATAGCTTTTAAATAAATTTTTTGCCAAATTTTTTTATGTTTTCCTAATAAAAGGATGTAGCAACAATTCTACTTCATTTATGGAATTATGAAGTTCTATTCATTTATGGAATTCAAGGCCATATTTAATCTAAATATATCAGATTATAATATTTTTTTGATCGAAATTTTGTCTGAATTGCAAAAAAATTTTTACTGTCAGCTATGCTCAATTTATTGTCAGTAATGGGTGCTCAATGAATTAAGCATTTTATTTTGAATTTTTTATTAATGGCAAATTTAGCAGTGGTATCTTCAAATTATGATCTGATCGAGTGGAAGACAAAACAAATTTAAAAGCTACACTGAGAAGCGTGGACAAAATTACCAGAACATGGTAAAATTTGCAGTGTTTCTGACTCTATGAGAACACCAAACAAATCTGCAATTTCTACCGAAATACTTTGGTAAATTAACATTACAATATGGTTTCATATAATGTAAAAAAATTTGGTCATTTTATCATGATTCCTTAAGGCATGGCATAAAACCAATTTATTCGGTAAATTCAATTTCAGTTTTCCATTTTTTACTAAATGTGTGGTAATATGACCTATAATTTTATGAACCAAAATTTCCGGTAAACCGTTACCATACGAATAGAAAAATGAACAAATGAAAGGTTTAAATGTTGTATATTTTGGTTTTTAATATCAGAACCATGGTTTTTCTTGCCCGGAAGTGTAATTACCATACATTATGGTAATTTTGCCAGAATTTTTTTTCTCCGTGTCGGAAGGAAAATAATCTATTATAGTAATACTTGTTTGCTTTACAACACAGCGAACAAATTTCCTTTACAACATCGTAAAATGTACTTGATAGGCAGGATAACTGCTGCTCAAAATCGTTCAAGTTGAACATTTGTTGAAAGGTTGACACAAACAGTTTAAACATCAAAATAATGCAGAACTATATATTATATTTTTACAATGACAGACTGTTTTTCTTTAAACTTGCTTGGGCATAAAATAAAATAAAAAAGTTTAATCATCATCATAGTTGGCCAGACAGCCCAATGTGCCCTAATGCCTTCTTCCGAAGATTTCTCCATAACGACTTTTGAATTATCTTTGATCTCCAATACTTTTCACTAATTGCAAGAAAATCAGACTCCACTCAATCAGCCCATCTTAACCACGGCCATCCCCACTGTTATAATTGAAATAAGTTGGGATTTTTTTTTAACTATTTCAATTTATCTATCAAAAGAATTATTGATTATATGCAAACTGTTTCAAAGTCATATTTTCAATTTTGGCGCATAATAACATTTAATATAAATAAGGTATAGTGATCCGCTAAATTATAACCTCACAAAAAGTTTCTTTGTTATAAATAAAACGCTTTTATTAATATTTATATAAGTTTAATTTATATTGTAATGCACTAAATCTAACAGACTTTATTTTTCATTTAATTACAACTTATGACAAAAGTAATAAAAGCATAAAAAATCAGAAATTACCACCAGAAAATTATAGCCTCTCTTTTAATGTTTTTTTCTACTTAAAAGTTGATATTTTTTAGAAAAAAATAATACTTCGTTTATAAAATAGGAAATTATTATAATGGAATAACTTTTGATCCAATGATTGGATCTTCACGCTTTAGGATTTAATCTTAATGGTTCGATCGGGTAGCCTCAAATATGTTCATTAATAAGTGCAGACGAAGTTACGAAATTGGACACGAAAACGTTCTTTTTCTGAATAAACATACCCTCTTTTCGACGGATTCAGATTTTTGATCCTCATAATATAGGAGGGAGCAGCAATCTGGTAAATAATATTGTCCCAGTTTGGTTGGGAGAGCAATCCAAAGTTTGAACCCCTTAATGTTAATTTCGCTTTTTACGTATTTCACCGTATGTCAATCACTTTTTAAGTGAATTACGAATTACAAAATGTTTGCACACAATTATAAAATTCGTTTGTCCAAAGAAAATTCTAGACAGAAAAATAAATTTTTGTAAATATTTATTATTTATCATTATTTTATTTAATAATAGTCGAAAATTTTTTTGAATTGTAAGGTATACAGTGAGCAATATTTTAAAGTATTCAATTTTACATGGTAGAATAGAAAATTTGAACGAAATCGGTTGACTAGCTCCTGAGAAATCAAATTTTAAATATACGACTATTCTAAAATTATTAATTATAACTAACTCAGTGGCGCGACAGCCCATTAAGAGGGCCAAGGCCGACTGTGCCCATCTCAGTTTTCTTGACCTTGGGCTCTGGGGTGCGGGAGCATATGTTCCGGTCAGGTGGTCAGCCGAACGCGGAACCCCCAGTGTTAGTTCCCAAGCATGCTTGGTACTCATTTTATCGACCCACTGAAGGGATGAAAGGCTGAGTCGGCCTTGCCCGGCCCAAGGATCGAACCAAGGACCTGTGGCACGACAGCGCGAAGCGCTACCGCTCAGCCACCGGGCGTCATTATTAATTATACTATGTGAAATTAATACTAATCGAAAAAATATTAAACTGTAAGTATACTAATTCTTACATCATTTCACACGATGTAATTTTATAAGGTGAAATTCAAAATTTGAATGATATCGTTGGAGGCCTGAGAATTTTAATTTTAATCGAACTTTAATCGAAATCGAATTTCTTCCTTTAAATTCGATTTCTCTTGAACTATTAGACCAATTTTGTTCAAATCTTGAATTTATAGTAGTTAAAATTACATTTTTTAAAATGATGTAAAAATTTGTGTATCTTACTATTAAAAGGTTTTTTGAAATGAAATAATAAAAAATTATAAATTATTATTAAAAAAACTACTTTTTGAATGGAATTATCTTTGGATAAACGAATTTTATAATTGTATGTAAAAATATTCCCAAGATAAGGCGAAACAAGCAAAAAGAAAAACTAACTTTAAGCCCTTTAAACTTAGGATTGATCTTCTGATTTAACTATTGGGACCAGATTTCCCAGATTGCTGCTACTCTTTCTCATACATCCTCAAGTAGCTCCCTCATGCAATATATTTTGGGGGTCAGAAATCCAAATCCGTCTAAAAAAGGAATGTTTATTCAGACAAAGTACGTTTGTGTCTGATTTCGTAACTTAAAATGCCACCTGCATTAATTAATTAGCTTATTTGTGGTTATCCTCTAGAATCATTAAGATTGAGTCCTACTACGTGAAAAGATCCAGTCATTAGATCAAAAGTTAGACAGGGTGGTTCGTTTGTTTATGCATTGTGCATTAAATGTAGCTTATGAAAGTAGTAATAATAGTAAACGTAGGAAAAATGCTCATAATAGAAGAAGGTAGGGGCAATTAAATAGAAATACTTAACTTGGATCGCGTAAAAAAATTATTATTTCAACACGCAAAGACGATTGACTATAAAATATTTCTATGATTAGGTATTTTTAATGCTTTACTTTCTTCACCTAATTTTTTAATACTGCAGTAATTAGTTATTTTAAAAGAATTTGCTGTCTCAACAATTTTAAAATAATCAAAAGTTCAAAATTTTAAAATAGTTTATTTTTCTTACTAATTGACTTATTTCAATTTAAACAGAAAAAAGTAAAAAAAAACTGCGAAAAGGAAATAAAAACTGCACAAGTGCCATAAAAATGCAATATTTGCAATGAATATGAATATTATGAATATATATGAAAGTTTTTTCAGAAAACAAAATATTAAGTTTTTTATTACAAAACTTTAGTGTATCTATGCAATACAATGAATAAGGCTGGAATGAAGCATTTGGACTAAATTCCCTTGCTATACAAGTTTTTTTATTTTTAAAAACATATTTAATAATCATGATTTAAAAAAAAACGAAAAGGCACCTTTAGACTTCATATTACGGTTCATATAATAATAAAACTTATTCTAAAAAAAAATTATGTGATGTGTCTGTCACATAATTAATGTGACACCAATTTCTAATAGATTCTTACAATAATATTTGTAGTAAAATTTAATTAAACTTTTTTTTATATTGTGAATCTTTTATCTTAATATGTGTATATGTTACTGTGAATGACCAAAATAGGTGATTGTTGCCTTCCACCGGTGAATGCTGACCATCACATAGTCGCTTTGGTAAATGTCCGAAATATATATTAGGTCTAGCTAAGTGCTACTGCCCGGTATACATTTGCCCAGTATACCCTATACAAATGTTTTTTTTAAAGTTAAGTGCCACTGCCCGGTATGCATATAACCGGTACTCCGAACACTGATGTTTCTCCTAATCTACTCTCAGCAGATATTAAAATATCTGTCAGTGTACCTAGTATATATTCTGGTATGCATTTAACCGGTACTCCGAACACTGATGTTTCTCCTAATCTATTCTCAGCAGATATTGAAATATCTATCAGTGTACCTAGTATATATTCCGCTATGCATTTAACCGGTACTCCGAACACTGATGTTTCTCCTAATCTATTCTCAGCAGATATTAAAATNTAAATATATCAAATAAATATAATAATATCAACGATAAATTAATATCAAATCGGATGTAACAAATATTTCGGACATTCACCAAAGCAATTATGTAATTGTTGAAATATTCACCCGTGAAAGTTATATATATATATTAATTTGTTTCTTCGTTTCAACGACAGGTTATGCGGGAGATCCATGGAGTGGCTTCCGTATCAATGGCCGGAGTCCGTCTTCCAAACGCTTGCCTCGCGTCATCTTGGAGCGATCCGCGGCGCACAGTCGTCGCACTACTGCCGTTCTGGACGATGAGGATACGCCTTATTGTCCGGCCACTTACTGCCGTCCGATTCCACGCAGCGCCTGGATAGATTTCCGAGAGCTTAATGCCCAAAAAACAACTCTCGAAGATGAGGGAGAAAGTAGTGATGAAGCTTATTCCGAGGATTATGTTCATATTGAAGAACCAGAAGATGATCTCGAAATATTACGTAAGTTTGCCTTTATTTAATAAATCATAGTATTGCTCTTTTCAATATAATACAACTTTATGCATTTAAAATTTTCGGCAGCAATTTAATATTTATTTTAAGTTTCTTTTTTTTTTCTTTCTTTTTTAAAGAGCCTTGTAACATTTTAGTTATAAATAGTCTAAATTGAATAATTCAATTCCATAATAATGCTAATTTCAATTGTTATAGTATGATTTAATATTTAAGATTTCAGATATTGACGTATTGGTCATTCCATTGCGATTCCGATTTTAAAAGTAACACTTTTAGATTTTTTGACTTGTTTATTTATTAAAATATAAATAAACAAAAATAGCTTTGTCCTATTCTTGAGTATTTATGATGCAAAAAATCTAACTGAAACAAAAAACGTGCTATATTTGAGCAGTTATTAATTAAATCTCAAAAATTAATTTTGTAACTAGCGTAAAATGTTTTGTGGAAAAATATTGTCATAATTATTCAAGAATGGGACATTTTAATGAAAATTGTGTCAGATGGTTTGAACGTTAGTTTTCATAGAATAATCCTTTCTACACGTTGGACGTTATCTTTTTAACTCCTAAATTTACACGAGTTCAATATCTACGTTACGAATATATTTGAATCATTGAACCTAAATTGTAATCTCTATCATATTACATATTTGAGTTTTAAAAAGAGGGTTGCTTATGTAAATTCAATTATTATGGATGAAATTAATTTTAAGAGCAACTTAGGCATAGACAATAAATATTTTAACAAAATTATCTCATCTCGTTTTAAAGAAGGTTAGCAAAGCATTTTATAATACATTTATTTGACTTTTGAAAATAATCAAGTTTTATCAAAGTTGCCTGGAATATTGCCAGATTTAAACTGCTGAAATCATTGTCTAATTTTTGTTTTCAATTGTTTAGTTTATTTTTATTACTACATTCAAATGTTTCTTTTCAAAACAATATTTCAATAGGAAATTTTGACGTTTCTAAATTTTTAACATACTTAGCAGGACTTTAGATTAGGCTTTTGAAAAAAAATTTGTAAAGCCAAAATATATTTATGCGTTTTTTTTTTAGAAAATTAATGCAAAAACTTTAAAAATGTCGTTTTTTTTGAATTTCTAGATTTGATTGATAGGATACCAACAGAAGAGGAATAATCAGAAATTAATTATAATTCTTAACATGTTTTTATGAAAATGAATAATATTATTTTTATATATTCATATATGATACTAGGGTATTTCAGGTACTAAAACATATTTATAAAGGAATTTTATATGCGTCACATGTTGGTCAAAACCATGGAATTATATTGCAACTCATAATTATAGGGTCACAAGTGTATCTGTAAAGAAAAGTGAATTTGATTTTGCGTATGATATTTATTAAATTTATCTTAACAATTTCTGAAAGCAAAATATAAAATAGAAAAAAATATAATGAAAGTTGAATGAACTTTTTGCATTCGTTCGTGCTTACATAAATATAAAATTGTCTGAAAATAATTCGAATTTACTTAAACATGCCGCGATGTTCATTAATCTCTTGTAGTTGAGTTGTAATTATTAGCAAGAGAAAATTAGTAAAATTTCTTCTTATTTTTAATAATCTCTTTATTGGAATTCTGTAATCTACTTAATTCTCACTTAGATTTTTGAAATTAAACAATTTTAACTAGTTCTAACAGTATTTTATTTTTTAAATTAAACAATTTTAAAAGTCTTTGATCACTGCTAAATTCAATAATAAAAATTACAAAATAAGAATTATAAATGTTTTCCTTCCTTGAATTTTTTGATAAATAGCTTTATAATTGTATGTAGAGATGTTTTTTTTAGTTTGGTAAAAATCCAGTGATGGAGCAAAAATCGTAGAATGAATTAATAAACATAAAAGTGCCCTGCGAAGGCGACCGCTCTCCTAACTAAACTACTACAATTCAACAATTTATAAATTGCAGCTATCGTATTTTGAGAGGCAAGAAATTGTATCTCTACAAATAACTTCACGTTATTGGGTATAATTTTGCCGCTTAATTGTGTTAACTGACTAATAACATTTTGAGATTGTTATCCCCGGAATGTTTGAAGAGGAATTTGTAATAGAAAAAAAACTTTCAATGTTATTCCTTGTCGGGAATCGGCAATAGTTTTTCTGCGTGAGTTGGTAGAGGGCCTCACTTTTCAAAATCCTTGTATTCAGTTGTTAACTTTGCTCTTCACAAGACGTGTGGATTGCACAATAAAAATAAATGAAAATAAATTTAAAATAAAATATTAGCAGTTTTATTCAATTTCTTTATTTCTTATCACTACAAATTAGTTTAATTTCAGAATCAGTTTAGTAAAAAAAGTCCACCCTATCATACTTTTCAATAATTTATTTTGTCGTTAAGAGTGCTCGTTGAGATTCTCCTGTAAGTTAAAGAACTGCAAGAAAAAATTTGATCAAAAGTTTATGAAGTAACTCAAGTTTTTTCATTCATGGAAATTTCGAAAGAGCGGAACACTCAGAACTTTACTTCGCAACCAATTTTTTTTTAATTTACAGAATACAAAATATAACAGAAACGAATAAATTGTATTATAAGTAAAGAATATATTTAAAAAAGAACTTCTAAATTGACAAAAATGAGATTTTATCAAAAAGCTATTGGGTGTAAACCGTTCCCTCTCAACTAAAAACCTGTTCGAGGTGAATTTTTCTGAGTGTCTTGGCAAGCCATTAAAAAACTGTTAGCGAACCACTATTAGCTCACCTTAATGTAATTAAAAAAATTTATGCTGATTTATTAAAGACATCGAGATATTGTTTTCGCTCCGCTTGAAAAATATGATCTCATATAAACGATAGCATTTTTAATTTAATTGTATAAATAATGCTGCAAAAACATTTTGTACTTTATTCCTCTGAATTTTCAGCATTTTTTTACTTTTAGAACATGAATTATGTCACTTTGACATAATTTATAACGACACCATTAATATCAAAGGCATTTAAAGATCACTTTCTGGAACTTTTAAGCTCTTTCTTCTCATTTCAAAGCTATAAAACATGGAAAATTAAATATGAAATCCTAGATAATTCGAACATTTAAAATCTCTACAAAAACCTCATGGGCATTTTACATTGTTGATGTATAATCTGCAAACCAAGTTGGGATTAAGAAAAATCTACGTAAAGAAAAGCGAAACCATGGCAACTTCACTGCTTTTGGTAAATGATTATATTAAGATCAAGTTAAACCAGGCTTTCTAATAATAGTGACATGATTATTTTTGAGCAATCTAAATCTGATTAATGAGTTTATTTTTTAATATTGAAAGAAATCACGTTCTTGAATGATTTTGTATCCCACAAATCATCAAATTATAAATAGAAATTTTAAAAATTGATTTCTCTGCATGGGCAGCATTTATTAGATAATAACATGCTAAAGAATATGATTAGACTATTGTTATTAGATTTATTGCATTAAAATTATCCCAGAAGTACTTTTTATTTTATGAATGCAGTAAATACCTAAATTAAAATTAATCTATCCATGAATAATGAAATCGTGTGAAACAAGATGCACAAAGCATAAAAAAGTTTTTTTAAATTTTTTCTAAGTATTTATTGCGTACTGTCTATTAAACTCTTATAAGTATGCAGTTAGGACCGTTTGAAAACACATTAAATAGTGCTTTTTAATAAATTACAGATAGAAGCACCATTTTCCCCTGATATAGCAAAATTAAACAATTCAATATAGTAGGACTATTTGCAGAAGTTTAATTGTTGATATATTTGAAGGTTGCGAGGCAACTGCAGCAATGAGACATCATTTTCCATAGGTTGACGTCAATATCATCTTTATTGTTTTAAGGTGGTATTTACAAGTTTTCAAAATTTTCATTAGATAGCAGCACTATACATTGAAACATCGTATTTTCCATATGAAAATCAGTGCCTCCCCCCCCCAAAAAAAAAACGTTCCCTCTTATATTTTCAAAAAGAGATTTATCATTATATTACCCTAAGCCATTGCCTTTCCTGCTTTTCATTTTGTAAACCTTATCATTGTACTTATTTCACACCAAATAGGTTCTCCAAAAAGTCCTCCTCCAGATACAGGAAGTCCACAAGCTGACAGTGCTTGTGGCAGTGACAGAGACAACAGTAGTTGCAGTACTACCCCTCTTTCAGAAACCCCAGCTGAAACATCCAACAAGACCTCTTTTGCTAAGTCAACTACAGAAATGTTACAAGACAAAGTCCAGAGGTTAAGACGAGCTCGACACTTGGTTGACGAAAGAATGAAAGAAGCGAGAGTGGAAGAAATAATACGTCGTGAAGAGCAACTTATACTACAAAGAGAACTCGTACAATTCAGAAGACTTTTATTGCTGCAAACCTTGTCAGAGCTCCGAAGCCAACTTGAAAGAAGACAGGGTGATTTTATGAGAAACAACCCAGAAGAAGAAGAAGAGGCGCGTCCTCCAGATGAAGAAGACGAGCACTGGCTTCAAGTTCAGACTGAGCTTCTTGGATAAAAACAAGCTTTTCTTTTCAAAATATTTCAGATGTTTACGGCACATTCCATAAAACATTTTCTAATATTTAAAGTACATTTTCACTACATTTGCTCAATTATTGTTTATTACTCAGTTTTGTGTTTTTCCTTCGAAAAATGCTAGTGCTGAATTGCGAACCCGCAAACCAAGGCATGATGAAATCAAAACGATAAAAGAACATCTAATATTTAGATGACACGCTCTGCAGATTTCTGCAATTTTTTTTAAATGATTTCAAAAATTTAGTATGCCATAGCCATATTGGATCAGCACTTAAACTTATTTTTAAAGCTATTTTTATTATAAAGCTTAAATAATTTTTTAAACTCTTAAGAACATTGAAATATAAATTAATAATAATTCCATAAATTATAAAATAAAGACAATGTTACGCGTAACTTAATGAAGCTTATCTTTTGAAACTGAGTCTAAAAATTACTCCAGTTTCTATTTTTTATGCTATCAGCTTTTAAATACTAAGAATTTATGTGAAATATCTTGCACAAAAATCAGAAAATTTCAAATGTTATTGAGGCAAGAGCTATAAGTAGCGAGTTTTTAATTTGAAAAAATTAATTGCACTTCTTTATAAAAGAAATTTGTTTAAAGCATTATGTTCCATATATTTTTACATGAATTATTATTTCAACCTGTTATTTAAAAAGCGTTTACTAAAAATATATTATTTTAAATCAATATCTTTAGTTAGAATTGATGAACTGTAAAGAGAACTGGGCTTCCAACATAATATTATTTTTCATTTTTTAAAAAAAAAAATTCAATGTGAATATTCATCAGTTCTAATTGGTATATGTTAGCTGTCTAAGAGTTAAACAGTAGCATTGACTTAAATTTTTCGTGAACATATTATTTATATTAATAAAGAATAAATATTTTTTACTTTATATCAATTAAAATATTAGTCTTTAATTAAAACAAAGAAATAAAAATGAACTTGCATTAAAATCTTTACTCAAATTTGTGTACAAACTAGTTTACTGGTTTAGTTAACAGTTAAAATATGAACTAGTTTTGCTTATATCTAACGTCAGACCTTATTAATATTATAAAACTAATGTTTATAAAAATTACTAATATATTTTTTATTTTAAATATTAGTGACTCATAATGAATTAAGCGTAAACTTTGTATTAACCTGATACAAATATGTGACATTTTGCGTTTTTAGTTACATCAACTGAAATTCTTATTGTACGATTTTTGTTTTAAATTTATTATTTAAAGCACTTTTTTATATTATTGTTACAAAACTGCTATAGTAACTTACTAATTATTTGCCAAATAGTGTTTTTTTCAAACCTTTATCCTTTGAAAAATGTTAAGAAATTTTCGAAATTTTGTCTTGAAAATCCTTAATAAGTGCAATAACAAAATGAAATTGTTTATTATAATTATGAAACGGTATATATTATGTGTTTGCTTTTTATATACTTTAATTGTTATTTACAATGTTGACCAAAATTTATTAAAACATGTTATGGATTGGCTAAATTCAACCTAAGAGAAAATTTTAGGCTTTTATATGTACCCAGAACTTTCTGTCAGACTAATATTATTTTTAAAAATTACCCAGTTTATAAGCGAAGTAATATGTCCTTAACTTTTTTATCAATCATAAACTAAAAAAAATAACAGACCTTTATCATTATTAAAAAAATACAGATCTGTAAGTTTTCTAATTAACCAAATCACGGTAATTTTTTCAATGCATAGGATTTGTAAAATGCGATGCCTGTATCAGAAAAAGTATCCGATTACAATTGAGATATATAAATAAATATATATNTATATATATATATATATATATTATTTATGCTCTCTTCATGACCATAGCACCACTTAGCCATGGCACGTCACGTCATGCATTTGGAGAAGTTGAATTTTAGTTTCGATCAAACTGGTAAAAAAAGTAGCTGTATCAAATTTTGTCTAAGGCTTGGGGAGCATCAAGTGGATTTTGCATATTTTTTTAATTTGTAAGTCCCTAAACTTTGAACAATTATGCACTAAAGTTGTTCAACATTTTCTGACATTTTGCCTTAAAATAAAATCTGATGACTCCTATTGCACGGTTTTCATTTTGACGGTGTGGCGTCTACAAAGTGGTGTTTGAAAAAAAAAAAAATTGCTCATACGCACTAATGTGCATCTACTACTAGACACCAACCCCTGCAACTCAAGTTTTTTTTCAGACATTGTGAGTATGGTCGATACTATTTGAACAGACCTCGCATACTTTTAAAATTTTCTCTTGGAGTTTCATGAATTAAAAATTAACTGATGAAAATTGTCTTAAATATATTAGAAATTAAGTAGCAATTTTTATTACAATGGTCCGTAGTATCATAATCTCGTCTTAGTCTAAGCTCGTCATAAAGTACAAAGCCAGAACTAGATCTGAATCATCGACTACTAGCAGTTTTGAATGATATTAGAGCTAACTACGAGGGAAACTTTAAATAGAATAATAGATATCTAATATTAGTTTGTAATCCCGAAGACTAGCGTAGTTTATATGCCATTACAAGAGCATAGGAATTTTTTTAAGAAAAATTGATGAATAGATTAGTTAAAGCGATTGTATTAGCAAAGCTAGTATACTTTCAGATGTATTCCAATATTGAATTCGGCCTTTTTTAAAATTTTTTTTTATTTAAACAAATGTTAAAAAAGAAATAGATTTTAAATAAAACATCAAAATGCAGTTCCTACTTTTAATCATGAAAGTATTTCTTCGTATCACCGAATGATAAACTATTAGAAATTTTGGAACGTTTGAATCACAGTATCCCGAAAATATTGTGCAATCTTAATCCGATGCCAAGTTGAACTATATTTTGGCCAGTATACGATAACTTAAAAAGAAATATGGTTCAGTTAGCATTTTATTGGGGTGGCAGCACATTTGTACGATATTTTGTCACGACAAACCAATTTTATGGTTCAAAGTTGAACCAATTTTTCTGTGAATGTATATTTAACATTACGTGTGACAATTTGCATCAACGAATTTAAAAAATAAAAGGAGCATACATTTACTTTTACTCATTGATCTCATTCGTTAAACCTTTTTATTTATCTGAAAGTATCGGGCTTGTGCAAGAATAGATAAGCAATATTCTGCTTTAAAAAACCTTCTAAACAAATTTGCTATGGCATAATATGGAGATGTTAAATTGGTGAAGTTCAAAAATTTAAGACTATGTCGTGCAGGAAATTGTGCATAGTTAAATTGCAATTTTTTCATATTTAGTGTATATTCTCAGTTGGTTAAATGTATAATTAAGCATAAAATATTCACAACCTTCGAGAAACCTAGAATCATTGTATGTAGCAAACCATTTTCCGAAAGCACATTAAAATGCATAAAATAATAAATAAAATTTAAATATTTTATGTTATATTCAATAAGAAAACTTATTTAATTTTATTGATATGAATAATATATAGTAAATCCTTTATATTTTAGAATAAGTTATTATGCCTTTATTAATTAATTAGCAATAACATAATAAAATGAAATATTTTATTTCATGTATAATTATCATAAAATGCAATATTATTATGAAATGCAATATTATTATAAAATGCAATATTATTATAAATGCAATATTATTATAAAATGCAATATTCTTATAAAATGCAATATTAATAATGAATTATTACTACTAATCTTTTATTCGTTATCAATAAAGTTTCAATAATAATGTAGAAATTTTAATATTTCTTGATGCAAATAATGTTGTATGAATTCCTCCAGAAAATCTTAAGGAAATACTCTGAATTCGTTTGTACTTTGCAATTTTTTTTATCTTCCAAAGTGACTTTTGAAAATTGATAATTGATATTCAATATGTTTTTTTTTATCGATTTAGATTACACAAGCATATTGTTAAGCAGTCGATCAGATTTTATGAAATGAAGTTTTGATATACATGCTAATATAAATAAGGATTTTACTACCATCACTTGAAATGATCTTTGTTAACCGTCCAGTGCTATAAGCATTTTTTTTATACAACCTCCTGCTTCTTATTTAATTGCTACACGTGTAAATTTATTTTTGTAATAATAATTCGAGCTAATAAATTATTAAAAATATATTTCTTTAAATACAACAGTTATGCATGATTTCGGAATTTTTTGAAATTCTGAGAATTACTTTACTTTAGAAAAATACTTTAGAAAAAAATTTACTCGTTGAAAATGCTTAGTTGTTTGTTTTCATTAGCCTTATTTTTTCAAGCATATGATGTCTTCGATAAAGGCACATGTTGACTTGTATTTTAAATTTTGTAAGCATTTGAGTACTCTAAATTCTTTTAAGTTACATAATTTATATTATTTTTAAGTAAAAAAAATAAATATATATCATATATTATGAAATATATAATGAATATTAATGATTTTTATAATAGTTCTTAATTTTCTGTTCTAAATTTAATATGATACCTTAGATAATTTTTTTTATTAAAATTACATCAAATTTAAAATCTCTATCTTTTATTAATTCATTAAAAACATTGAAAACGTTTTTTATTTAATAAACTTCAAACTTACTGTGTTTTTCAAAAAAAATTGGATAGAAATAGAAAAATATAAATATTAAGCTTTCTTCTTTTTTAGAATACATACTTTTTTTTTAAAAGTACAACTATAGTACACTAAGTTTATAATAGTAAATAGCTCATTAAGTATTATTCTTTTGTGGGACATATTGAATCAGTATTTTATGTTTATAAATATTGCTTTTTATATGCGTTTCATATGAGTCAGTTTTTTGTTCTTGTGATTATTTGCAAAGAAAACAGGGTACCTCAAATTTACAATTTAATTAAAATGAGAAAATAATGTTTGGCTTTAAGGCTAATAAAGATAAATAACTAACACTCTTATTTTAAGTTATGCTTACTGTTTTAAGCTACTTTTTTGCTTTAGGAGAAGTAATATTAATCTGCTGTAAAATTAGAGTCACAAATATTTGCAAGTATACTGGTTATTGGAATTTGCAAGTGGTTGTTAGCTTAGATCAAAAGTAATTTTAAGAATATTTGAAACTTTAACCATTATAATTTTAAAAGAATTTTAAAACTATTTCTAAAATATAAAGTTGAGAATTGTTTTTTAATATAACTCGTAAGCAAGCATCAACAGCTATTTTTTTTAAATTTTGTAAGATATAAGATAATAAAGATTTAATAATTTTTAAAGTTTTCACAAATATTTTTGGAAGAACCTATTTGTTCATAAATAAAATAAATTTGGGAAAACGCTCTCAAAATCTTTAAATATGAAGTTATTAAAAGTAATTTCTTTTTACAAAACTGATAAAAAAATGTTATAGCACTTTTTTCTTATATATAGTCACAAAATGCAAATTTTTGAGTATCATAATATAAACGATATGTTCGGTTAATTATAAAATTTTCAGAATGTGCTCGATTAATATTTCATTTAGTATTAGTTTAGGTTTGTGTAGTATTTGAAATAAATGATTTTAAGTAGTACTTAAGTAATATATGATTGTGAACCATTATTGCTTCTTTAGAATAATAAGAATATGTGTTTTGTCCTTAAATTAGGAAATGTGCTTATTTCATGTATGTGTTATTTTTGTAAAGCATGGCTGCAATGTATTGAAAATTGTTTGATGTGATAGAAAATTTCTTTGATGTGTTGTTATTCTTAATTTATTTTCAGTTTGTTTCAAATCCATAGAAAATTATAAAATCGTTTAGTGATTTTCAAGTTTTGTTGAAATCTATCACATAAAAGTCAAGTTAAAGTATATATATATCAAGTTTTAAGTAAACAAAAAGTTAGGACAATTTTACTGT